CAGAGATGATTAGTGATCCCCGAGTGCGAGCAGAAGGCGAGAACAAGCCGTCGGCGCCAGCGACGATTGCCGCATCGGGTGACTCAATCAAGCGGGAGTGGGCTCACTACCATATGTGGGCCGGTGTCTTCGGACACGAGCTCGGACTCAACCCAGACCGTGACTGGGAAGAGAGCGTGAAACAGCTCTACACAGGCGCAATCGCGCAAACCGCTTTGTCTACGTGTCTGGGAGATGTTGATCATGGCTATAAGGCCCTCCCTAAGGTGGCACGGATCAACGACGAGGGGTTGTCGCGTTTCCAGCCCGGCGATAGCCGTGGCCGTGAAAAAGCCTGCATCATTGTTTCCGACTCTACCCTCATTTTCAAGGCTGGGGCGAGAACATTCGTTGAGATGGCGGAAGACTTTAAAGCTCTGACGGGGCCTGGTCATATCCTTCAGCAATACACGAATGTCCGGCAAAAGGCGATTTGGGGAGGCAACCTCCACTCGATCGTTGAGGCAGTTCACACGCTCTTGCCGCAGATCATCAACGAATCGTTAAATCCCTTGCATCTCGAGGTCGATATCGTTGTTGTGTGGATGGGCAACGAACTGTGCGGTCGCAGAGGTGTCTTCGTCGACCCAGGAACGCCACACTGGCAGATTGGTCCTGAAGGCGTTGCCGCGGAAGGGATCTGGGCGGACATTGCCGCACGTGTGTGCGGCGAAATCGGCCGTCTAGCCGCCCTTCAGGGCAGGCCAACAGTGGGTTCGATACAAATCCTCTCGGATGCCGACCCACTGGACTATGGGCTGCCAGCGGAATACAGAACAGCTATCCGAAAATTCCTCGGATACGCAAGGAGCAGGGGGTTATACACCGCTTCGCTCAAAGAAAGCGTATGCCAGATCCCAAAGCACGACCACTACCACTTCCGCGAGGACTCTACGCATCGCGCAGCCTTGGCCTCTGTTATCGGGCAGCGGATTAAAGTGTGTCAAGCTGACCACTTATTCGCAAAGATGCCCTCAGAGACGCTGGATGAGCTGGCCCGCCGTTTCCCCTTCGACCCAGAAGGAACGCGGGTATATTCCATGCAGTATGTCTTCGACAAGGCGCTGTATCGGTCCCAGCTCTCCCGCCGCCTTTTAAGGCAGGCCGAGATTCGCGAAGCTGCAAATGAATGCCCTGACCCATGGGAATCCCCTTATGTTCCTCCACCTGATCTCCCGGTCACTGGAATGCGTGAGGTACCTCAGGATGTCCTGAATTGGGAATGGGCCACAGCTCGCGAACAGGCGCAAAAGCGTGCAAAAGAGCAGGCGGAAGCACGTGCCCGTGCTGAGCGAAAGGATCCAGCCCCACTTAGTGGTGGCCTATCTGGCAGTGCATCATCTCGCGACGTACCGGAGGTGTCCTTTGACGATGTCATCGAGGCCATCCCTTATCGCACTGAGTCACACCGTACTCTGTCTGCTGCGAAAGAGGGCATGACCAAGAAGGACCGGGACCCTTCCAGCGGCCTTTTAAGGGCTCGCCCACACGACTACATTGGGGTGAAATTCCAAGACGACTTGGACCTGATGGAGATGTGTGGCTTCGTCGATGAAGATGTGTGTCCGGAGGATCCTGAGGGGAGCGAGATCGTCCAGATCCTCCCCGATTCGATCCCGAAGGACCACCTCCCTGAGTTAGGCCTCAAACCCTATGTTGAGCGCTACCTCACAGGTGCTGTCCGAGGGTCGAACGTGAAGCTCAGCTCACGGCGAGGCAAATGGGTACGCATCCAAGACCTCATTCAGCACATGTGGAAGAAGCACCGTGTGGATCTGGGAACACGAGGTATCTTGTCCATAGTCGCCTACGATAACAAATCGAGGTTTAACTTGGCAGGCCTCCCCACCGATCCACGTGCTGACTTCGTCGAGACGGACATTTGGCCGTCGTGGATCTGTGCGTCACATGGTCACAGTGAACGCATCAAAGATCAGGTGACTGATTCCTCGATTGCTCTGCATTGGTTCACGAACGAGACGCGTGAGGAGCTTGGTCCTACAGCCGCCTATCAAGGCAGGCCATTCCTTGCTCTTGGGGAGTTTCCCCCACGCCTGTATCATCGAACCACGCATGATTCAGCTTTCAATATTCTCTCTACTGGCTTCACAGCTGGCTTCAACCGGAGCGGGAAGTTTCACAACTACTTCGCGAAGGCCACGCTGAGCGAGCTTGAGAATAAAGCTGGCAGCCGAGCAAACCTTCCTTATGAAGTTGTTCTCGACACTCAGGAGGTGAACCGCTATGCCTACCTGTTTGAAACAACTTCCGAAGGCATACTCACGCGCGACCCAGTGCCAGGATCTTGTGTGCTCTACATCAGGGACACGATCAAAGGCATCATTCTGTGGTCGCGTCAGTCCAGCGAGGAAGAGGACACCATCATCCCGGAGACTGCCCAGGATCCCATTGTCGATCCTGGAGCAGCTGAGCCGGAACAGTTCCCCGATGTACCGGAGGAACCTTCAGCCCCACTTAGTGGTGGCCATGAAGAGGTCGAGACAGCAGCGTCTGCAACAGCAGACGAGCCTATGGTCGAAGTTGAGGTTGAGGTGGCACCACGAGCATCATCGCCAGAACCTCTTGCACTCAACGACGCCACAGCATCCGACTTCCTTCCGGAGGAAACCACAACATTGGACCAGGGGGGTGCTTCTCCACCGGAGGCACCGACTGAGTCCAGAAAGCGTGTCCGTTTCCTCGAGCCGGAAGATCCCGTTGAAGTCGAGATCGAGATCGAGCCTGAAGAAGGAGATGTGAAAAAGGAGGAGGAGATTAAGATCGAGCCGATGTTCGAGCAGGCACCGCCTCAGCCGGAATCGACTCCTTTGGCTCTCCCTCCAGCCCCCGTTACGGGTGGCCGCCACAGGGCATGTCCCCACTGCGGTACTCAACACCTTGTGGGACAGATGATATGCTTGAGCTGTGGCGTGCACATCGTGAAGCCTTCTCAGCAGAACGCACGCAAGAAAGCGCGTTCGGCTCGCTGGTTCGCTGAAGAGGCAGCCGCCGCCGCTGCGGGCAAGCCACGTTCCCAGCTTACACCGGAGGAGGTCATTCATGAAATGACCAGAGATTCTTCAACGCAGCGGGGAACGACATCGCTCGACGCAGAGGCGCTGGACAAAGCCCGGCAGCAGCTCAAGATGGCTACAAAAGGAGGCTACACAAGCATCGTACACCGGTTCGATAACGATGTGGACTACACAATGAGTTCCATCGGCAATGGGTACGATCGAGAGTTTCTGGCCATCGAAGACGTGCTTACGCATGCTGCCTTGCCGAACCATGGCCGTTCAAAGGAGCAACGACAGTTAGCTGTCGGGACCTATGGTGGAAGCTCCGAAGGGCCACGGAACCAGGAGATCGCTCGGTTGCTCTACCTGCACGACTGCAATCCAGCCGCCCTTAGGGCAGGCCTGATCTCCGCAGTGAGTGACGATCCGTTTTGCATCATGTGGCTGGGAGGGGCATACAGTTTGCGTAAATTCGTAGATGTTTTCCTCCAGCACAAAATCGTGAAGATGATTGTTACTTTCTCAGAAGAGGCACTCTATGTTGATCCAAGACTCGGCTATTCTGCTGAGGACTGGACTGAGTGGCTCCGTGAGAAATTCGCGGAACAGGTCGGAATTGCACGCCGTGCATACGAAGAGCGACAGCGCAACGCTGAACGCTCTCGCATCGCGCAAGCCAAAGCTGATGCCCGCAGAGCAGAGCAGCAGCGCTACCAGGAGCAGGGATGGGATCGCGGCTACCAGCGAGGATCCCACCCCTATGGCCGCTCCTCCGGTTCCCGGGGATGGTACTAAGTACCTGACCCACATTTCGTGGTTCCGTCACGTTAACCGGTACTCCGAAATACAGCCCCTCTTAGAGGTGGCCGAATTTCCTTAAGACCAGAAAAATTTCATCTTGCATCATCTGGCAGTCACTTTGTGACAACTCCGACACCAGGTCTTTGGACCTCGAGGGGATTCGTCAGCAGCTCCAGTGGATGATGTATTCGTCCCATGCTGCACATGTCTTGCGACTCGTATCCACGCCATCATTCAAGGCTTGCTGGATCGTCGCCATTTTATAATGCATGTCGCGACTTTAAACTGCGCGCTAAAAGAATTAATCTGCTTCCGTATCTTCCGCTTTACGGTAGTAGAAAGTCTATGAGCCCCGAGCCACAATCCAGCCGCCTTTACGGCAGGCCACACAGCACCAAGCTTCCGTGCATGTTTGCGCCTCAGACTGACGCTTCGGCGAGGGGGGTGTAATTTGTGCACGTGTGAAGTAGCATGTTGTGTGTACGGCATTGTGGCACAAGTGCTCTTACAGGAAAAGTGCGTAGTTGCCTAATGGTATTGCGCTGCTTGTAAACACTTGGACGGGTATATACAACAGTGCGTGTGTGCAGTGGCTTACAACAACTATATCCCTAATCCTGCCTACCTCCGTCCCGCTTTGAGGCCTCCGAGGATACCCCCGTGGTGGGTTCGTTCCCCTAGCGCAGAACCTGAAAATTCTGGGATGCTTGTTACAGCATGTCATAAAGCTTTAAAGGTACTTACGATTAGAAGATCATTATGCCGTATGTTGGGTAGAAAGTTATGGAAAGCTTTACGACACAATGTAGTATAACACTCTATAGACCCAGAGGTTCTACAGCATTCGGGTTGATGCATTGAGGGAGATTCTTGTGACATAGCCGGGCTGTCCTCTGCTGCTGCAGCAGTGCCAGAGATCAGATTCTAATTAAAATAAACCTCGTGTTGTCACCTTTAACACCAGAGAAGTGCAAGAGGAGAGCTCTCCATGCCCCAAGCGAACCCGCAACCGGCTCAAACACCAAGAGTGTGGTGTAGCCAAGCTAGCAGCGTAAGCGCTTCCAGATATTCCTTGTAGAACTTCTGCTTAAGCCTACACCATAAACCCGTAATCCCAAACCCTGCACCCTCCTAAACATGCAGGAGACCGTGAGCACCCTGGAGTTCGCTTCGCGATGTGCCGCCGCCGAGTTTTTGGGCTGGGTTCCTCTGTTATTTGGAGGTCATCGTCGTACAGAAGTTGCAGGGTAGATTCGGGTAGATGTTGACGGGCTTTCACAAGGCATTAAAGGTTGTACTGGTTTCAAGTTTCAGACCTTAGATCTACAGGGGAATTTCGCCTTTTGGGAGAGGGTTCCGTATTCCCCTGGGGCTTTCAGGAGTTCTGCGACGGTTGGGGGTCTGTCATGTGATGTGGGGGGTTTGAGGTGTTAGGATTCGGGGCCTGGGATTTCAATTCTCGGTTGTTTGGCTTAGGGTTTAGGGATGTAGGCTTCCCGTGCTCCAGGCCCGAACATCAGGTTGCACTCATATGGGTGGTTGTCAAAATTATGGTCCCGTTTTGGTACCCTAAATATTCGGTGCCGTATTATAACAAGGACCCAAAAAGGGACAGTAATTTTGACAGCCACTCATATCTGGGTTTTTGACGCCTTCGATGTGTTTAAAGGGTCCCGGTTATAGAAGAAGGATTTGTAGAGCTGGAAAGTTAAGTCGAAGACCGTCACAGCAGTTCGTCAGTTCTTGAGTGCGCTAGGAGTCTTTGTGAGACACTTTGTGTTCACGGATGATGGCGGGGGAGGCGTGAATAACACTGGTTAGACTTGAGCCCAGTGGGAAAAAAGGGGTCTCGAAGTGTGTTCTGAGCATGTCCTAAAGCCTAGACTAGACCCGAAGCCTAAAGTGGAGCCCGTGTTACCGCGTAAGCCGCAGGCAAGTTGGTAAAGACGAGTGCCATGAAGAACGAGCAGAGCAAGGCTAAGCCCGCCCTGCCATTTGAGAAGCGGGGTTTCGGGTTTCGACTTGGCTTCTCCGGTGAACCTACACCCTGCATCCGGCGGCGGCGAAGGTGCAGAAGAACACCAAGTCTTCAGTATGGCTGCCGTGCTAAACCCCGAACCTTTAAATGAAGAGAAGCTTCATGCCCGGCCGCTGAACACCGAAGGAAGAACATCCCGCACACAATCAGCCCGTAACAAGCCACTTTCAAGAAGCGAAACCTGCAAGAGCGTCCGGGGTTCGAGGGAGCTGGGTTTCGATAGTTCAAGTTCAGTTGACCACTTACCTGGCAGTTTCAGGCAGCAAATATTGTTTCGTATAGTAGGAACACGATGATCGGGGTTTCGCTGTTTTCACGGGCTCAACGTTTGCTGAAATCTGCGCAAGCTCGAATCCCTTAGATGGCTTGCCGCATGTGCTGCTTGTTTGTAGGGGAGCCGGAGTCAGATATACACAGACACAATCACATACTTTCTCGCGAAGAGCCTCGTAACAGAAAGCATTGCAATCCTCTGTTTCCCAGAGGTGAAATCTGAAAAGGCCGTGGCTATGTACTGAACACACCCTGGGCCCCGAACACGAACCTTACAACCGAAAGCCGACATCCTTGAACGAACGCTCCGGCGCCTTTTGCCTTCTTGGCCCAAGTTTCGCTTCGCTGAGTGGCTTTTTAGAGCGTGGTGGCCTCAGCTGGCTAAGGCTGTTTGTTAGAAGGTTCAGGGTCAGGGGTGTTTATGCCTTTAGGCTTCATCATATTTGGGTTAGGGGTTTGGAGTAGTGGGGCTTTAAGACCTTTAGGGCGTAGGTTTAGGGGTGGAGGCCCCTAAACTCCAAACCCCAACATCCGTGATAAGCTCGTGGAGGAGGCTTATGTGGAGCCTTCTCGGCTACATGCGGGAGTGAGACGAAGCCGAATCCCACAAGCCACTGAAGACTAAAGCCTCAACCCAGGCGCCGAAGCTCCAAACCCCCCAAAACCCTAAAAGTCCGAGGCCCCACTCCCCACACATGGCTTGAGCCTGAACAAGTAAAATTGGGTCATATGAGTAAATGCTACAGTTAGACTTTGTGAATCGTAAGGGGCAGTAACCAGCATATAATTCTGATGCAGGCTGCCCTGCTAGACTTAGCCATCCCTCCAGGGGCGATGGTCCATGGAACCATGGCCACCCTGCTCTCGGTGAAGACTTGGCCTCAAAGGCCTTCCCTGATTTTGGGGGTTCGAGGGCGTAATTAAGATAATGGTCCTTATTGCAAGCGCTCTCGAGGGTTGTATAAGGTTGTTGTAAGCTTTCTGTGTGTTTGTTCATGCGGTTTTAATAAGGTCTTATAGAAAGCGGCTCGGTAAGGATTCTAGTCGCGAAATCGCACAAGGGTGAGACCTATTGGTTGGGCTGAGACATCCCCGGTTCGTCTTTGAGATCCGAAGATGGATGTGTCCGTGGCTGGCGTTTCGAACCAGGGTTTTCTTAGTCAGATGATTGCTTGAGGGCTGTGGAACGTGCAATGAGGCTTTTGCTGGTGCTTTTGCTGGGTTTCTCCATTCGTTCTAAAGGTTTCAAGACTGGGTTTTGGGCATCGGAAGCGGACGCCCGCCTTTCCTGTGAAAATGTCGTTGTTTTCCCTGCTCGCTGCGAACTGTCTTCGAGGGTTGGAGATACAAGAGTTTCGGTTTAGGGTTGAGGATCAGAGTCCAGTCCAGCACGACACTTGGAAACCAACTCCTAAGCCATCCAAGCCAAAAGTTTACTTCCAAAGACACCTCAGGGTACCCACCCGCGAACCTCAATCCCTGGGCTTTGACATGTTTGAAGCCAGATCTCTCGTCCACGAAATTAACCCGGAAGCCTGGATCCTAAACTCCATGGCCTCAGCCCTGAACCCCGAAACCTAAACCTTAAGGGCTTAGGGTTTAGGGTCTAGGGCCCGCCTATCCGACTTCCTCTGCCAGGTACGTAAGTCTACGGAACAACCCCAGCGGAACTGTGAGCGGTTGGGACGGAGATCCTGGCCCGGCCGGACATCTTGTCTTCCAGGCTCTGGGGCTTGAAGAGCACCAGGGTCACGGGTGCTAGCTGCTAGGGGTTTTAGGAGGTGATAAAAGGGAGAAGGATTGTAGAGTTTGGGAGTTTACGGTCTTGGGTGACCTTGCAGGTTTGAGGCTTAAGGAGTTTAAGGTCTTGGGCTTCACGGCTTTTGCAGAAGTTGTGTAGGGTCTAAGGCTAGGGAGTTTAGGGTTCAAGGACTTAGGGTCTAGGATTAGGCTTGCCAAGACATGATCATGGAAGGTTGTGCGCTCTTCACAGCTCACTCCTCGAGAGAGAGATTTAGAGTGCCCTAATTACAGTAAACCAAAGCCGTCAGGTTGAGATTAGGCCATCGGACATTCTCGCATCCAGGGCGGCTTCGGGCCCAGGCTGGAAAGTCCAAACCCGAAGCACAAGTTTGAAGCCCAAAACCCGAGCCCAACCCAAACCCTAAACCCGAAAAACGACTGCTGCCCAGACGCTGTACCCAAAACCGAAAAGCTCCAGACAGCAACCCTAAACCCTAAATCCATGCCGGCCCTTGTGCAAGTGTGTTAATTGAAACCCTAATCCGTGCCTGAAAGTCAGCGTGTATATCCGACCGTCAAAGCACACGCGCACCAGAGACCTCGTCAGCCATGTCCGAGTTGCGCGAGCGTAAATCCGTGCCTGGGAGAGTTCGAGTCGAAACCTTAAATTTTAAACCCCCAAAGCAGCAGACCGATCAGGAAAGGGAAGGGCACTACCTGATATCGACTGAGCAGTGGCCCCGGCATTACTTCCGGCTCGTCAAGGACGTTGCAGAATTCGGCAGTTCAGGGTGCCTACTAGGCTTTGGGGTGTTGAAGATGTAAGGGTAGGCATAAGATCCGGGGTTATCGGTCTTAGGTAGTGTAGAGAGTTTGAGAGCAGGATTTGGGGGTTTTGTTTGCTAACCCCTACACGACGGAACTTGGCTCATGGACGCAAAACCCTGCTCCATTTGAGGCAGGAACAGAGAGACATCCGCGATGTCACCGAGATCAGTGAATCTCAGACGCCCTGAGGATGCAAGTGTGCAAAACACTTACATCCCCATCGTACATCATTCAGCCTCCTGCCAGTTCTGCCTTGCTGCCTTGTCTGTTTTGTTTTCCCGTCGTCTTGCGTGCCAATCTGGTCTCCATCCCCCATTGTGTCTATTCCCACCCACCCTGACCCAGTCTACCACCCTGTACTGCATGCACTCCAGCCTTCCTTGAATTCATTTGCTGGACTGTTTTGCTTGCTTTGCTGGACTGCCTTGAGTTTCTGTTGAATCTATGGCATGTGACCGTTGAACTGCTATACTCCTGTTGAATTTATGCATGTGACCTTTGAACTGCTATACTCCTGCATGATGTATGAACGCCCGGTGGTGCCATGGGTGATGAGATGTTCGGAGACGTCCTGTCCAGGCCCCGTCACTGTAGTCTTCGTCGGTCCTGCCCGTAACCTCTTTCTTTCATTCCAAATAGCTCCGCCAAACCCTCATGTCCCAAAACAAAGCCACCAACCCACTCGATGGTTTTCTCGATTCTTGAGTGCCACAGGCAGGCCACAGATGCTAACTTGTCCTCCGCAGGAAAGGGTAGTTCTGTGCGACAGGATGGTGCACATGAAGATTGCACCTGGAGTGAAAGCTGAGTTTCCAACAGATGCGATGCTGACACCATCAAAGGCGTTGGCACCCGACAGAGACAGTTGTCACAACGTATGGACTATGTTGGAAAACGGTGAAAGCCTGGCGAAACATGCCAGAGTGAGAGTTGGCGCGGGACCAGAATAAAGAAGACCCGAAGCCTTAAAGCCTTATTTAAGACCAAACTCTTGGCTTCATGGGAATGACCAGATGCGCCTGCATCAAGGCTTAATTTGGTTCGGAAGGCTACTTCGTTAAGAGCAACATGGGGCGAAGCATGGTCCGAACCATCCCGGAACCCTAAACTCCCTAAACTTTAAACCTTGTACCGCCTACGTATATGTTTCCGAACATGCTGCAGCTTCAGGCAAAGTGGCGCGTGACTAGCTTGGAGTTTGGGGGTTTTCTTATTACACAGATCAGAGTAGTCTCACGCTATTATTATTTTTTCTTACGGTTCCTTAGGTCCTTGATACAAGTGTACTATAACATACCAGTAGCCGCAACACCCTATTTTGACTATTCGAGTGCCCATATCGAGGTTTGGAGCTCTTGGGGTTACGGGGGATTTCTGTGACCAGGACGAGTTCAGTAGCTACCTGCACGTCGTCGGCAAGCGTGGCGAGCCTGGCAAAGCAGGGCAGTTCGTCATCGAGGACTGGATGCCTAGTGAAGCCGAGGGCCTCCTTGTGGCGAATGAGAGATTGGACCATCAAACTGCAGGGTTTAGGGTTTACGGTTTAGGCCACAGGTGATTTCGAAACAGCACCGGATGTGGTATGCGACGCACGTACCTGTCAGGAAGGGTTACTGGGTAAGAGCGTATACTTCACCGAGCAGGGGAAGAGAGTGCCATCCGCCTGCCTTAGGGTGTTGTGCGCTTCGGCGGTTCGGCGTCCGAAAACGTTGAAAGCTCGACCATGTAGACTGGGGCAAGGAAAAGCATGAGAGTATGAAAGAAATCCCAAGAAAGCTCCCCCCCCCCGCCGCCCACGAATAGCTTAAGTCCTTTAAGCACTAGACTTCCCAAACCACCCGTAAGCCTTAACCCGGCTCTGGCCTTAGCAAACAAATATCCCAAGACATGGGCACTACCGAGGTTTGAATAGCCTCTTCGTCGTAGTATCCCCTGCAGTAACTTTGGAAAAGCGTACTCTCTAATTATACCCCACAGCCTTAATGAAAACGGTGTTGGGGCTTTTCTGAAACGGCCGTTTCAATTATCCGACAAATCCCTATCCACGAACCCATGAAAAATCCAGTAGCAAAACGCTACTCTACTCGATGAAGGCCCGAGCCCTAAACCCTGAACCCTTATGCCCGGAGGCCCTGAACCCATAACCCTAAATCCTTTTTGGCTCAAGCCATTTTGGCTCAAGGCCGTGTCTCGCTGTGGACGTAGAGGCCGCGTCAGAGTAGCCCCCCCTCGGCTTCTCTAGGTCCTCCCGAATCTCGTAGCACTTTGTACCTCCTGACTGCTACTTGTCCTATTGCTTCTGCCAGCTGCACCTCTGCTGGTGATCCCTGCTACGTGTGCTATCCTTGTCTTGAGCCATGTCCGAAGCGTTGTCGGGGTTAAATGCCCGTATATCGGCAGGCACTAGTCGCCCTGAACCTCCCCACTTGGAGCCCTTTGACGAGTTTAAGCAACGCATGGGCTGGGTGGATGACACTAAACCCATCCCCTTCACAGATAGTGACGAGCACTCACACACCAGCACCCAGGCTACACAGCCTGCCTCGCCCCGTACCATCGAATCAGCCCAAGCAGCACTGGCAGCGGCACTAGGAGGACCAGTTCAGGTAGGTGAGTTAAATGGTCAACCTACATTTACCTTCCCTGCCCCTGCAGAGGTAGCAGCCATGATGGTAGATACTAACAAGGCCCGTACTGCAGATGAAGCCGAACTCCCGGCCCCAATGGATTCCCCCCAAAAGAAACGTTCCAGTGCAGATGTTATTGCCGAGTACGACCTCACAGTTGATGATGAACTTGATGATGACGATGAACTCCGACAGACAGCTGGTCAACCCGCTACACCTCCAGAACCCACCTCGCATAACAAAGCCCCTCCTCCTTCCACAGCCCCACCGCCACCACGACATGCTGACTCACCCGAATTCGGTAAAGCTGCAGGTCCCTCCCCCACCCTAGCACCTCCCCAATTTGCAGGTAACATTCAGGTAGGTCTCCCCTCACCAAGGCGAGGACCTAGGAGGACCACCGGCATTCGTAATGACACAGGCGCTCCGCCAGGCCTTAGTGAATTGCCACATCATGACGAACACCAAGGTAAACCGCTGCCCCAAGCCCTACCTACGGACCCTCACCGGGAATCTCACCCAAATCCACCATGGCTCTCGTCGTTGCAGGCAGACTTACACAGATTGGTGTCACAACAGGACCGTTTTCTCTCAGAGCTGTCCTCGAACGTGGAGGCCACAAAGGCGAATTCGGCTTGCATTAACACACTGCAGACTCGTACTGAAGCACATGAAAAGTTGCATACCGAAACGAAACGGAAGGGCGTATCAGTCGCTTGGAAAGGGAGCTCTCAGAACTTAAGTCCCGTGCCCAGTCTCCCTACACCCCTCGTAGTATGGGAGGTAATACTCCCCGAGGTGGAGGACTTAACTCCACCACCGCATCTAGCGTTGGAGGTCGACCGATAGATGATTTGCAACTTGTAATCGGCGGTTTCTCGAATGCCAAACGAACCGACCTTCAACAAGAAGTTCGTGAATTCTTTCGTTTGCATGGAGGTCCCGAAGTCCTCAAAGAAGTCTATGTACCATACCTTCGCTCGAACATTGTGCGCATAGAATTGAATTTCCCTCCAGCCTCCGATCTAAGTGCACGACGAACCATGCAAACTCAAGTGCTACAAATCCTCAAGGATAACTATAAGACGGCTATTCAGGGGCAGAGTGAGAGCCGTTTATGGTTCCAAAGAAACAGATCACCTGAGGATCGACAGATGATTCGCAGTATCTTGCGTACCCGTGAAATTATGCATAAGTTGGCATCCCCAGAGTCCCGTACGGAATTCGAATGGAAAGGACGAGTCTACCTAGATGGAGAGAACATTTTGTTCCATGCATCCCAGCGAGCCCCACCCACCGACCATCATCCTCTCTCCGACGTCCGAGGCTCACACAACGGTTGGTACATTGATGTCGCACATGTAGCTCGCTTGCTCGGCTGTAGTGTCAGCGATGTCCTTAAGACTTGCGAAGATTAGGAAGCAGGCAGGGACAAGGATACACAGCACGCGTACCGCAGTAAACAGACCCCTCATAACCGACCAGTACTCGATGCCCAGGTTGTGCATTGGAATGTACGGGGTAAGCATGTTCAAGAAGTCTTGGATACTATGCAAGGTATAATTCACCCCCCTGACTTCATCCTGCTCCAAGAAGTTGGCGGTCTTGGACGCACCCCCCCTAATTCGGCCCTTTCCTTTACGATATGGTCGGGCAGCGAGAAATATTCTTGCTTTCATGTTGACACAGCTCAAGGCTTTCGGCATGTGTGCATCCTAATTCGACACCCCTTTTCGGAATACGTTCAGTCTACACATGTCTCAGCAGTCGGCCTGGGCGTATATCTGAAACCGACCGGAGGACGACCCATACTCCTATGTACCTTTCATCTTCCCCATTCAAAGCGTGAGGATGCCAAGGAAGTATGGGAAAAGGGAACTCCGGAGATTTCGGATATACTACACATCGCTGGGCCCCAAGACATTGTCTTCTTATCAGTAGACCTCAATCAAGACTACACTCTTCATTACGATTCCTTTGCTGGCATGCCCCATTTCAGAACCGTCATTGCGCAACATGACCTGCGCATGCAGCCCTTCGAAGGTCATACATGGTTTGCTCGAGGGTGCTCCTCCAAGATTGACTTCGTTTTCTTTCGGGGGCTGGGTGTTTCCTCTTTGATTGAGAATCGGGCGGACTTGAGGATGGGCTTACCTTCGGATCATAATGCCCTATTATTTACTTGCTCGGCAAAAACACCTTTTGCTCGGCCACAATACCGTAGAACACTCTGTGGGGTCTGGGACACAGACCCTCGAAGACTTGAGGCCGCTGCATCTAACTGCCCCCTTTTCAACTTGGAAACATTGTACACACTCCGAGATAAGGCGGTAGTGAAACCCCCTAGCTTACGGTACAAAGATCCTGTGCATGTGCATGAACTCATCCAACAACGGAAACAAACCGCTGACCCAGATGTACGTTCTAAATTAGTCTCCCGAATTCACGAGGCACGTGTGCAAGCGAAGACAGAACATAAAGCCGACCTCCTCCAACGGGCCCAAGCGGGCGATAGAGCCGCGATATCATTCCTGAAGCGCAGTTCAGCCACATCGGCGACAGATGCAGGTTTCCTGCAAAGGGCAGGGGGGGCCGCACAGGCTCAGGAAGATGTGAAAGCTTTCTATCAAAAGAAGTATATGCAAGAGGATATAAACCCCCTTGAACCTGTAGTCCAAGAGCTCTTCCGCAAACATGAACAGGCGGCCTTCGACCCCATTACCCCACAAGAAATCTCTAAACACCTCTGCAAGCTTGACAATAAAACGTGCACTGGCGAGGACGGTGTGCCGTATAGTCTTCTTAAACAGATTATGCAGACCAACCTACAGAGCTCTTTTTGTAGTTTCCTGAATGATGTTATGCTAACAGGAAATATACCCCCGGAATGGAAGACAGGCCGAATCAGCTTTATTCCCAAAATCAAACTGCCGGCCACACCGGCTGATCTTCGGCCTATCTGTCTCACCAGCACAGTTGCTAAGCTTTTTGGCCGCATCCTCATTTATAGAATTCGTAAATTTGCCCCGGCATGTAACCCTCTACAATTAGGATGCCACCCCGGACGACAAGCTATGGATGGCATTAATACAGCTCGAGCTGCCATCTCCGTCAGCAAAAGGTCAAACACTCCGTTATGCTTTGCCAAACTAGATATTAGGGCAGCCTTCGACTCGCTTTCGCATAGAGCCATAGCTCACTATCTCCTAGGACTTGCACCTAGCAGAGAGGCCCGAACTCTCTGGAACTTAACCACGAACAACGAGATCATCCTAGAGGTAGGTGGACAGTCCTGGAAGCAGCTTCTGGGCAAAGGCATACTGCAAGGCACCTCTTACAGTGCAGAACTGTTTTCAAGGATCATTTCGTGGATACTTGAGCCTATCATACGTGACCTCCAACAACACGACCCCATTCTTGTAGGTGGTGTGTCCTTTCCGCCAGTACTCCTATATGCAGACGATATTCTTCTGATTGGAACATCCCCCCTAAACCTTCAGGAGAGATTGAAACGTGTCCAGCATGCCCTATCTGCTGTGGGCCTCCACATCAATACCCATAAGAGCTCAGTGCTACAGGGTCCACTAGGTGAACATTACGGGGTATGGGGGGTTAACTCCTTCCTCCCCCTGCAGACATCAGAAGCCTTTATCTTCTTGGGAGTTCCTTTAGGATACCAGGTGACGGGAGAGGACACATTGTTCCACTGTCTGCGTAAGACTCAAAGCAGTTTTTTCGCATTCAAGCGCCTTATGGATTCCACTAACTCGGCTCTATCCACTCGGGTTTCTATTTTCGAAACCTACGTTAGCAGTCGATGGCTTTGGGCCTCGCCAGCGGTTTACCCTAGTATGGCTCTTCTCCGCAGGGTAGATTCTATGCGCAACACTCTCCTCCTTAGTCTGCTCAGATTACCCACAGATCCGCTGTT